ATATATATATATATATATATATATATATATATATATATATATATATATATATATATATATATATATATATATATATATATATATAATTTATATATATTGTTTTTGCCACTCGAACATAAAATCCATATCTCTTCGCAACCGCCTAATATATCCTATGTATATTGTGCACTACATCAGACTTTAGTATAAACGTATTCGTAAAGAATATGTACCATAATAAAATACCTCGATATAAACGTCTTGTTCTAATTCTTTATAAGCTGTTCAAGACTTATTTTCCAATTCTTCCTTGAACGTCTTGTTGGAAAGCTTTATCTCCACGCTAATATTCACGATCACTATAAAAATAAAATAGAATTAATAAATCAAACATTGAAATTCACAAGGTTCTTTCTTATTCCCATATATATTCCGTCGTTGAGCCTGGTGCAGCCTCATTCAAGGCCGGATTTTGGTGGAAATAGTGGGGGAGGTGGCAAAAAGTTTAGGGGAGATACAGCAGTCTAGCTCACGATCCTCATCCCCCCCCACGGAAAGAACGGGCCAAAGTCAACGACGTGACGTATGCATGTAGTGTACATATGTATCAGTGTATTAATGAATTATGACTGTACAACTCATCCAATTTTGCCCTTCATTACAATTACTACAAAGTTTCTTTCAAAACATTGCATTAAAAGGGTACTTGACACAGAGATGATTGGCTATCACTGTTTCAGTTTTACAGAATAACTTTCTTACGAAGTGTAGACCCTAAGCAACCAAAAATGTCAAATTTTCACTTTGATCTATCATTTGAAACTTTCCCAAGGGGGGGGGGGGGGCATGACTTTCCAGGCGAGATGCAAAAATTCTTAGGGGAGGTGCAAAATAATCTCAGGAGAGGTGCCCACCTCTCCACACCTCCGTCAAAATCCGGCCATGGCCTCATTATAATTATATAATGTCGTCCACCTGGCCGATCCAGACTTGTGTAGCAATGCAGGTGGGAACCATCCTGGATGGTGGATTTATCCTTGCAGCACCATTGAAATGTTAAATAAATCAGTTCATTAATTAGATTATATGAACGCCAAAATTTGTTAACTTTATTTTCTCATGTAGAGGTAACGGGCAATCCAAATGTGGGATTTGATGATGAAGATCTTGAAGGCGATTTCGATCCAGCAAAATATGATGAAGCTATGCAGGTATAATACCGTACACCTTTAGGAGATCTATCATACAGTACTCAGTAGTTTGCAAAGTGGTGTCCGCGGAATCTTTGCTATGACCGTACATGTACTCTTGACAGGATTTGTGCAGATCCTTGAACTCCTTGAAAAGTGCTTAAATTGAAAAATCAATTTCAAGGGCACTTGAAATGCCTTAGAAAATACAAAATCTGTAAAATGACCTTGAAAAGTGCTTGAAAATCACACAAATCACACAGTAAAATGTACCTGATCTGACATTTTCATAATTTTGTCATGACTAGTCGTATACGATTCTTATCCTGGCGTATGTAGTCAAATAAATGCGTGTTAAGATGTCAAATTTCAAATTTCGCCATAAACTGATGAACTGCAGGAATGGTGGCGTCCGAAGTCGTTTTCATACGCCAGAATGACAACATACACTGTACGACTATAGTTATAACGTGTGAGTGGGTCTATAAAGAAAGCCTCTTCTTTACCTTACCAGAGATCACTGTACTTTTGCTGGCACGAACTTCTTCAATACACTCCATTATTACGCATGCACATCATCGTACTTTCTTTCCTTGTACAGCGTTATCACTTTCAGAGATTTAGCGATTCTTTTAGGGAATTGTAAGTTTTAACATTTCTAAAGGAAATTTAGATATTCCAAGAACGGAATTCTTGATAAGAACCATATAGACTTACTGTATTAATGTTATGTTTGTGTCTGCATGTTTGTTTATAAAATCAGAAACGTTTGATCTACACTATATTACTGAGCCAGATGTCACTGAGCCAGTGAGGGCTAGCGGCAGTGGATGTAAAATCTGAACCTCTCTGATGTCTATTTCACGACATTCGAACATGGTCGCTGTTTTGACGAGATTTTAGTAGCGGAATTTTAGGGAAAACTGAGAAATTTCAGAGCTTGTCCATGTGTTGACAGCCACAGTGATGAGAAGATCAGTAAACTAAGAGACTTTGATATTAATTATTGTTTACTAATATTTGGATCGCATTATGTTTGTAAGACATTAAAAAGACATTCAATAGTCCTTGAATTGTCCTTGTTTTGTTGGGAACCTGCACAAACCCTGCTTGAGTTACGCTGAGAAGTATGCCGTAGATTACAGTATTTAAGTGTGTTTTGCTTCAAGAAATGTTGCAGAGTGTTTCGTACCATAAAGGTATAGTACATAAAGTAGAGGTGGTATGCCTCTGAATCTCCACTTCATTTAGTTCTACCCTAAGTTGGGTTGTCAATTGCATGACCTGTCTATCTTCCCTTAGAAAGCATTTAATGATGATTACTACAACGAGGAAGAAACTGACAAACCAGAATTTAATGATGAAGATTTGGATGATTATAAAGAAGGTACTGTATGATGTGAATAGTGCAACGAAATGCGTTTTGCAGTCTTTGTATTCGCCATCCTTAACTAGCTAATTCCAAAGTAACCCTGCGTCGGCTCCTGGGATTCTGATCTTCTATTTCTTTCTAATATTTAGATTTTCTTTCACAAATCACAAATTTGATTGTAACTTAAGCTATTCCAGCAGAATACGGTGCTTCCTGCATGGTATTATCGGCGCTTTAAAGTGCATATGAAACTTAAATTATTATTGCCTTATTTAAAAGAACTATAAAAACTATGAAGTAACTTCTTTTGCAGTTTTTCGTTCCGTTGCTTCGTTTTCGAGATATTGTAATTAGTTAGTTTGATAAACGTGTCAAGGTTTCTACGTTACAAGTATGCATGCTATTATCAAACAAAATCGCTTTGTAGAAATATAGTTAGCATTTGTGTTGTTCTACAATATCAAATACCTGGATTCTCTAGTAATTTCATTTCATAATAATATAACATTTTCAGCAAACTCATCATGCATATATTTGTGACGTAGAAACCTTGACACATTTATCAAACTAACTGAAAACGGAACGAAAAATGCAAAAGAAGTTACTCTACCGAGTGTCCCAAAAAAACTGGAGACTGTTTGATTTCTTATCTCATACCTAGCGTATAAGCGGCTTTCCTATTGGCTACGAGGTGGTGCGTTCAATCTCCAACCCACCTGCTGACGTGTGTTTAGGGGGGGGGGTCGAGATCGATATTTCGGCGGCGGTCATTATGAAGCGATTTGAACAAATTTCCGATGAAGATTTAAATAAAAAATAAATGAACTGTTTTTATTTGTTTTATAATAATTATTTTTAATTTTGTTCGATGAAGAAAGAAGGCCGCCGAGATTTGTTCGGCACGGGCAGGTTTATATAAATCTTGGCAATGTTTTCGCAGAATGTGTGAGTTTTCTCTTTTCAAGAATAAGGGAATATTGTAGAGATTCTTTTTAGCTTCAATTTAAGCCTAAGTTTGTTTGTTTGCGTAGTATGTTGGCGGTTAAAATGTTTGTTATGTAAACAAAAATTATATACTAACATACTAAAATGCGTAAATTCTTCAGTACTTTATACCGAAATGGCATGTGATAAAAACCAAACATACTTGCAGGTTCGGTGAGTTCGAGAAACTTCCAGCCACCCTCGGTGCGTCCAATCCCGGATTCACCTCCCTGCAAGTACGTTTTATAACAAACGTACTTGCAGTATGGTGATTCCGGGATTGGAGGCAGCGAGGGTGGTTGAAAGTTTCCCGAACTCAGCACCGAGGATGGTTGGAAGTTTCCCGAACTCACCGAGCGAAGCGAGGTGGGGTTCGGGAAACTTCCAGCCACCCGAGGTGCGTTCAATCCCGGATTCACCGAACCTGCAAGTATGTTTGGTTTTTATCACATGCCATTTCGGTAAAAAGTACTGAAGAATTTACGCATTTTAGTATATAATTTCTTGCTTGGATAACGAACATTTTAGCCATCAACATCAAACATCAATAGCGCAGTCAATATTGCATATAAATTCAAGTGCTACATTTCAAATCTGAACAGATTTGAAATTGCTCTCAATTTCCCAAAACAGCTATTAGTATCCAGTTTTATATATAGCTTCTTTGGGTACTTATAATGTAGAATAATGAAAGTTAGTATAGGTTGGTATTAAGCCCTGTGTGGTTAACTGGATTATTGACTTTTTACGTAATAGATGGCAAAGGGTCAAACTAAGTGATAATTGTTTCTCAGACTGGCTCCAAGTTCCAGCTGGTGTCCCTCAAGGCACACGACTTGGGCCTTGGCTATTCTTAGCCATGATAAATGACCTTGTGTTACAAAATCACCCTTCAGAAATGTGGAAATTTGCCGATGATACTACGGTCTCTGAAATTGTTGAAAAAAATGAACAAAGTACTTTACAAATGGATATCGATGATATTACTACTTGGTCTATGAACAATTCCTTTCAACTAAACCCATTTAAATGCAAAGAAATGGTAATATCCTTTTCACGATTACCACCTGTTTTTGAACCTATACGTATTGATGACCGAAATTTGGAAAGAGTGGCAAGTATCAAATCGCTTGGAGTTATATTAAGAAATGACCTTAAATGGATAGACCATGTAAATTCAATTGTCTCCAAAGCAGCTAAACGTTTATATTTGTTGAGGCAACTCAAACGTGCTGATGTCGCTTCGGCAGATTTGGTCAAATTTTTTTGCAGCTGTATAAAGTCTGTCCTCGAATATGCGTGCCAATTATTCCATAGTTCCCTGCCACAATATCTTGCAAAAAACATTGAACGTATACAGAAGCGAGCAATGAAAATAATATTCTATGAATTGTTTTACGACGAGGCTCTTAACATCGCTGGTATTTCTACTCTTGAAAACAGACGGGAGTATCTATCCAATAATCTCTTCAACGACATTGTTTTAAATTATGATCATAAACTTGCCAAACTTTTACCATCCAAAGCAGGCAATAGAGAATTACGAAAAGAAAGATCTTTTGAAGTTTCACCAGCAAGTACAAATCGTTTCGGGAACTCTTTTATCAACTTTTATGCTAAGAAACATTACAAATCAGATGTTCCTTGAACATTTTAGAATTTTTAACTCATATAGATTAGTACATTTAAGTATATGATATATAGTATATATTAACAATTTCTAAATTGCATTGTAATATAGAATTTTTAACTATTTATAACCTTGTAACACTTAACGTCATGTAATTCAGTCTTCTGACTGCCAGATGATGTTTTTATTAAACAAACTATTATTATTATTATTATTAATATAAGTTAGTCTATAAGTTAGTCCTTTCTGAATGCAATGATCTTATTTCATTGCGATAGCTTTTATAGCTTTTACGTTACTGTACATGAAATCAAACAGTGTCCGGTTTTGGGGGGGATACCCGGGATAGTTTTTATTGTTCTTTTAAATAAGACAATAAAAATTTTCGTTTCATATGTACTTTAAACAACACGAAGTAACCCAATACGTCCCCAGGCTTTTTGCCGATTATCCTTTGAAATCGTTGAATTTGTTATAAATTATATGGACTTATATGTAGTTTATAACGCTCATTTCTACGTTCCTCTTCTCGTAGAAAACTGGGACGAATGGGAAGGTCACGGTCAGGATGGCGAAGGTAAAATGATTTCGGTAATACAACCTGCTGTTATATAGGATGTAAAAAATTCAACTTGGTACGGCGATGATTTACTTTTGACCTTGTTCGCCATTTAGTGGTGATAATTTTTTACGCACTTTTCTTACACTTTTCTTATTTCTTTTCTTTATTCTATGTACATTCAAATATTTCTTAATTTGTACATGATAAGTGTTCTCTCAGATCGTGTCGAGTTTACTGTAAATATAGATAATAATTTTGTAAATGTATAATATCACACTGTAAAACGCTTATAGGACAGAATTGTATAGGCCCTATATCAGTACCATCATTATTATTATTATTATTATTATATCTTCATAATCTGAAATATATAGAAATATTATTTACAGATTAGAGCATTTTAAGCTCGGTTTTAATTTTGTGTTATATCTTCAATTTAGCACCTCATTGTGACGATCCTGGATTCAATGTAAGCTTTCGTGAACAAATAAAAATTTGGAAACCTTGAATGAATCATGTGTTCAAATTTTAAAATGTTTGACTTTCAGATGGATGCAGATTGTGATGGGAATTCTAAAACAACGACAAATAACAGCGAGGGGAAAAAGAAGTCCGCTTTTTCGACAGCACTTCATGCGGCTAAACCTACATTTGATCCGGGTGAGAAATTAAGACTTGAAAATATATTGTTTCAAATATTCAGAAAGGTTCAGATTAATTTTGACTTACTCTACTGCTACCTCGCACAAGTTTAATACGTATTTGATTAGTTAATCGGGTAGAATAAATGCGTATTATTGGTTAATCGTAACGGTAGCGGAAATCAAAGTCTGCTGTAATAATTTGTAGTCTTGCAGTAATAATTTGTAAGGTCGTAGTACATGTAAGTAGTTTCATGACAAATATTGCAGGCAAACCTTGACCTAGTCTATTAAACAATTTTAAATATAGGAGAAAAATCCTTTGAAGAATATTTTGATGAATACTATAAACTGGATTATGAAGACATTATCGGTGACCTGCCATGCAGATTTAAATACAGAGAGGTGGAGCCGAATGATTTTGGTCTCACTGTCGATGAGGTTTGTGCTTGGTTGTCATTTTTGTACAATTGGCGCACTGCTCCTTAGCGTTCTGTTAAGCTTACCAGACTGCTACTACAATGTTGTCCTAAGTTCTGGAATTCTCGAACTAGCTGATCATGCTAAAGTTTTGGGACTGACAATCAGTAACGACTTGAAATGGTCCAAACACGTCGCCGAAATGATCAAGAAGGTCAACAAACGAAAATACTTCATTATACAGCTTAAACGCGCAAAAGTGCCCGCCAAAGATATAATTAACTTTTACTGCACATGTGTAAGGCCTGTACTCGAGTACAGCTGCGAAGTTTTCCATTTTGCCCTACCTACCTATCTTAGTGACGCCATGATTGAGCAAGTCCAAAGAAGAGTCACCTCAATAATTTTCCCAGGCTTGCCGTATCCCGAGCGTTTGCAAAAATGCAACCTTATTCCCCTCAGTGATCGGCAATACAAGGCCTGCTCAAAACTACTCAATCAACTCATCAACAATCCACATCATAAATTATCATCCCTTCTGCCAGAACGTTACTCTGCGAACTACGATTTCAGAATAACTCGAGAGTTTCATCTTCCAAAGATAAAAACAGATAGATTTTTAAAAACTTTTATACCGGCGTGCATCAAAGAATTTTCTTAGATACTCTAATGAACCTTTCAACATAAATTTTTATAAATCTATTTATAAATACTTATAGTATATATTTTATTAACTTTATATGAATTAAAATGTTCCTGTAAATTATAGCTCTATAGAACTTAACCTCTTTTGTAAAATAACACGCAATTCAGTCACTGTAGACTGCAATGTGTTTCTTTTTAATAAACCTATCTATCTATATATACGGTATAGGCCTGATGTGTATTAGAGGTCTGATTCTCCTGTTTCCTCGGCTCGTCTCTTTCCACCTTAGTTGTATTACGTTGTCTGAAGTGGATCGTATGATGGTAGCCAGATTTCGACGCGATCACGTTCGAGTTGTGTCCCTTGTAATTTAGCAGCGTTAATAGGAAGGACAGTCCCTTCTTACTTTACAACTTTACTCATCGCAGAAAGTAAATACAGATGTATTACCGTTTTATCTTAATTTTCATGTGATCACCATATATATATATAATTTTGGCGCTGCGAGCAGGTTGCATATACTGTATACGCTTACAATCTAAAATGCATTTTGTGTTTGAAGATACTGATGTGCGACGATAAAGAACTGAATCAATGGGCTTCTTTGAAGAAATCAATACAATATAGGTACATGCTGGTGTTTGCAGTAAAATATCTACTGAGAATGATCCTGTTTTGTGATTGGTTTTCTGGAAGAGACGTGATGACTGTTTGTGGGTCGTTCTGTTGAAATTCAATTTCTATTTATTCTCTTTCATTATCATGATGAAGCAATGAACCAATCACAAAACATGGCGGTCTGATGTTTGTTTGTCTAGAACATTTCATTTTCGCGCTCTTTGCTACTCATCGGATCAGCTGGTATTCTCTGTACTTTATTAGGACGAAAGAGGAAGAAAAGAAAGATATTAAGAGATATCGTCAAAGAGGAAGAGACCTAAACAAGAAGATGTTAATACTCAAATCTCTTGCTAATCCAGAGTATGTATACTTAATAATTGCTTTTCCTATGGTTAACGTTAGAATACTAACAGTACAAACATATGACTTGTGCAGCGTTGACTACTCTCTCTCGCAGCTGCCGAATATTGCACCTTATGGTATAAAGGAGTAATTCTATACATTTTTAGACGCTGCGAAACGTGAAACTATAGACCCTCTGGTATGGACCAAATGCGGCCCTGCAACGGTGCAACGCTCTAACGGGCTAACAAAATGAGCTACAGAGGGCCGCAGGTTTGATTCCTGCCAGAGACTTAATTGTTGCATTTTGTTGCAACTGCTCCTCGTTGTTTAAAAATGTACCTAACACCCGAAACCTTTTCAAACCGATGGCGTACCACAATGTGCAATACCTTGATCTTGTTTCAATGATTTCTGCTGATTGGTGAAGCTAAAACATCGGGAAAGGAATGTAGTGTGGACGTAAGCAGCCGCTCGCAAGGAGAAGCCACACAAAGAGTGGCTGCGAAAGATACTAATCGTCAACCGAATTTATGACCGAGCATTTTATACCCCATGTGCTTACGGATCCATGCCCGTATTTCGAATCATGGTTCTTACATGCATTCATAAAAACCGAAATAACGCAATGTACAACAGAACATTTACGGATTTTCTTTAGATTCACTGAAATTAATACACATGCACCCCATAACGTTTTTATTTTCTTTGAATTGGGGGACGGAATATCTCGTTATTCTTTAACCGTCGATTGAATATCAGTGCAGACACTTGAAATGCGACCTAGTCACTTAGTTAATAACGTTTCAAGGATTTATAGTAAATAATGCTGGGGTGGCTATAGGACAGGTGCGTGAGGAGGAAGTTGCCTCTCTTCGTCAATTTGGTGGAGAGTTTGACAACCAATAACGGCAAGGCAGATAATAAAATTACTCACATTTTTGTATTCTAACCAAAGCATTTTTTACAAACAAACTTTATAAGTAACAAGAGTCAGTGAATTCACATATGTAGCAGCTTGAACAACTACAGCGTACTAGAATATTCAAGGAATACAATTTATTGTCGCCTTTGTCTTAGAGTAAAATGCTATTGTTTATGACACGTCTTCATTTCTCAAACTCACTATTGTTCCGGCCACTTACTAACATCCACTTTAATATAGTATTTCCACCTTTCTAGTGACGAGACTGAGAAAACCACTGAGAATAATCACCGTGATTCCAGAATAAAGAACACTGATGAGAAAACAGAGAAACGACTGAAGGAAATAGCCAAGAAAATAAAAGGTGACGGTAAATGGAGGTGGAATGGTAAGGGTAGGATTTCAAAACAAGATCGCGAAGAACAAAGTAAAAAACGACGTGTAATGAAACATTTTCGAGGTGCCAAATCAGACAAAATATCGAAACTTTCTTCATCAAGACTTCTTGCGTATGGCGTAAATAAGAAGAAAAAATCCAAGTGAAACGTATTTTCCCACGCTTGGTATTGTATATTTGATCAAAATACAGTTTTTAAATTATCACCTCCACATAGCTCTGTAGTTGCTTAAATTTGGCCACGAATCCGAAAACGACTACAACCCTTGAGGCCTGTTTAATAATATATGATTCCACTTATCGAGATGTCAAAAGACGACGAGGCATGGAACACGACGACGCGGTCTCAATTTCAGCTCAAGATTGCGAGTTAAGGAACTTGATTACTGTAATAAATTGAAGACACCGGATCGTTTTTCCCGAAACGGCTAAGTTCGGCTAATATAACTAGACATGTAATGTCACAGCTAATATACTAGACAGATTTAGAAACGACGGCGAGGCAAACACGACGACACGATCTCAATTTCAGCTCAAGATTGAGAGCTAAGGAACTTGAATACTGCAATAAATTGAAGCTTTTTAGAATAACCTTACAAACGGCTAAGTTCGGAATTTAACGATCCTGTGCCTGCTATGCGACAGATGTTATGTAACTCTTCCAACGTCGCAACAAAGTTTAACGTTGTATTCAGGATGACAACGTTGTTGAGGACAACACTGGGTCATAAATTATTCAAAGTTTTTGTTTTGCATGAAAGTTTTTTTTGTTTCGAAGGATGTGTCTTTCAGTTCGCGTCGTGTTTTCTAAATTAGTGTAATATTTATCTGCGTCCATGCATATGGAGTTTTCATCTCGCTAACGCTTGCCAAGATGAAATTACAAAATGTAGTTCTATAATTAGCTAGCGTTTGCACAACGTACATACATTTCAGTCATGCAAGACAAATGCTTTAACGATTTTTGTTTTTTCGTATTTAATTTAACAAATATAAAACATTTTCCGTGTTGATATACAGTTATAATTTTTATATCAACACGAGTGGAAATTGGGAAAACGAGAAATTGTGTGGAAACACGACGCCCGAAAGGCTGAGTGTTTTCGCACAATTTCGAGTTTTTCCAATCTCCACGAGTGCTGATATATAACTGTATATTAATACGAAAAAAAGTTTTATATTTGTTTTATAATATGGCACAAAGAAATATAAAGAAAGAAATTTTCCGACGTTTCCGTGTTGACATTCAGTTATATCAACATGGCTCTTAGCCAATCAGCGTTCAGAATTTACATATACTATTTACAAATACTATTATAATATTGTTTATTAAACAAACATCATCAAATTAAACAATAAAATCTGAAATACGTTTTTTTCTTCCTAGTAAGCGGGCTGGCGTGTTCAGATGAAAATTTTTCCCGTCTACCTCCGCTTACACAGCCGGCATCTCGCCAAACCATACCTGTTGGCTGTTGTTGAGCCATTACCACTATAGACTATGGCATCCCTAAAGCCTGGTTTTGTGACCACACTCAGAGTCAGTTCCCTCAAACATTTTTTATAACTACTTCTCAAATTCATTAATAATTCATGAGTAATTCAGCCAATGATAATCACCTATTTGATCACAAGATGCCATTTAGATACTTGATGAAAGTCACTAGTGTTTTCATCAAATATCTTAATTACGCATGCAAAATTACTTGAATAGAATTCCTAATTACGTTATGCTTGGTTAAGAATTCT